ACAGAGGAGCTGTGGTTGGACTCGTGGTGGCCTCGGCCGTGCCTTCCCGCAGTGGGGACAGCCTGTGGTGGACCCCAGCCCACCAAATCTGCGTTGCTGGGCCTGGGGTCCTCCCGGTCCTGGGCAGGGGGAACTGTGCTACAACCTGGGAGTGCCCTGGCTGAATGGTCCTGGGGAGGAGACCCCCAGGGTACCGCTGGTTTGGGCTCAGATACCAAGTGTGCCGAGTGGAGTCAGAGTGGAGATTGAATCCCATCCCTAATCACAGGCAGGCACCCCAATCCCTGCCTATCTGGCTCCCCTGGAGCAGAGCGCATCCCAGGGAAGCCCGAAAAGGCTCCTGCTTTCAGTCTAGGCACAGGAATTTTTCCTCCCTTCCAAGCTGTAAATTTTCATAGTCTGAGAAACATGTTTTCACCCGCTCCGACCAGGAGACCCAAGATCTGTCCCTGCCTGGGGCACAGACAGTGCTGGGGCACAGACTGGCAGGGTGCTGACACCTCCCGCCCCCTTTCCGGGCTCTATTCCCACTGGTGAATGTGTCTGGATCATCCCGAAGCCCCTTCCACAAGCTCACATCATGCCAGGACAGTGCTACAGCCATCCTCGGCTTTCCCATGCACAGTCCTGCCTGAAAGCGCTTGTCTGCAAAGCAGAACCCACTCCGGTGATATTTATTAGGGGTGCTGCAACCTTGGTGAGCTTGAGAGACCTTTTCCTGTGCTCAGCAGTCAGAACTGCAAACAGCACAGGCAGATTTATATCCCCGAGTATGGAGTCAAATGTGCACAGTGGATTTGGAGAGGAAGCGGTTCACTTAACGGCACTAAGGATGGGGAAGGAGGGGCTGTTCTCCTCGCACATAAATTGGAATAAGATGTCAGGTATCAATACAGCATTTCTGGAAAAGCCCTTGTAGTGTTTTCCCATCATGGTTCCCAGCAGGACTGTGCTCAGCCTTTTCGCTGTGCCCTGAAGGATGGCGCAGAGCAGCCCGTGGGATCCGCTGGCGAGTGGGACGTCAGCGCGGCTCCAGTTCTCCCACGGCACGAACGGGAATGAAAGGTCGGCTGGGGCTGTGGACCCCACGACGGGGTCTGCAGAATTGCCCCAATGTGCAGGCGTCGACAGAGCAGGCGCCCCAAAACTGCGACTTCAAACAGTCAGAAACCGAAGGAGACGTGGGGTGGGCGTAAGAGGCTGTGCTGGGCAGAGAAGTCGGATTTTTGGGGTGAGCAGCACGACCAGCCTCAGAGGGTGCAGTAACTCCTATCTGAGGAGGGGCAGGTGCCCTCAATTGCTGCAATTCTGTGTAAGAGGTGTAGGATACTGCTTGTTTTCCTCTCGGTTTGTGTTTCTGAACAGGCATGGTTAATTTTAACTCACAGGGGTCAGCTGCTCTGGCCGGCTGGGGTCTAATCTGGCGTTATTTCTGGTCACTAGGATGATGGAGTTTCTCCAGCTTTTATTCTGTCTCGCCTCGTGCCTCCTTCCTCTCCTAACCGAGTTCTCTCCTTTGCCCCTTTCTCCACCTGCAAATCCAACCCAGACCCACGCGAGGACATCCCACGAGGACTTCTGCACCCAGCTTTGCCGTTCGGTCCTCAATGGCGAGAGTCCCGGCTCCCACCCTAGCCATTTTCCTGGCTTGCCTCTTCTCCGGGGCGCTCAGCCAGACCCCGAGGGCTTTCCAGGACAGCACCGTCCCCTTTGAGGTGCTTACCCAGGAGCAGGCTTACGGTCTGGTCCAGCCGAGCCTGCTCCAGGATGCCAAGCCGTTGAACCACTCAGAGAGCCTCCCCCGGAGCACGGGCTCCGAGCCACCGCTGCTGCCCGTGTGCGTGAAGCCTGCAGACATCAGACACATCTTCAAGTACATCAACACCATCGTGTCCTGCACCATCTTCGTAGTAGGGATCATTGGGAACTCCACGCTCCTGAGGATCATTTACAAGAACAAGTGCATGAGGAATGGGCCAAACGTCCTCATTGCCAGTTTGGCGCTCGGGGACCTTCTCTACATCCTCATCGGTCTGCCCATCAACGTCTATAAGGTAGGCTCCCCGCGGCACGAGCGCTGCAGCCCCTGGAGATTGCAGGGAGGGTGTCTGCTCCCACCTCCCTCGGTTCCCCAGGGAATATCTCTCCTCTGCCCGCTACTGCAGGCTCCGTTTCTGCAAGGGGAATGGTCTTCCCCTTCCCGTGCACTGGGGCAGATGGGGCAGCAGACCCGAGACCCCCGTTAAGAGCAGAAGGTGCATGAGGACACCGGGGAGGTGTGTCTGGGCTATGGCAGCTCCTTCTCGCCCGCTACTTGAGCCAGGTTTTGGTGGGCTGCAGCCAGAGGTTTCTGGGAAGGGTTGGAAGGGATGCCACGGGGTGAAGGACCCGGAGCGCAGCTGGATTTGTTTGTCACAGGGAAGCTTTAGCCTGAAAAGTGGAAACTGAGTGCCAGGGGGGTTTTGGATTGAGCAGGTTGGGTGGCAGGGGGAGAAGGCAGAGAAATTGGAAGCAGGAAGAAGATGGATATAATCTGACAGTGAGAACAACCAGATTTGGCTGGCAGAGGGTCTCAAATTGCTGTGAACAGATGCACTTGAAGTGAAAATGGATTCAAAACCATAAAAGTGTTTTTAACTAAAAACAAATGTTTTCCATGAGCCGGATGATTCTCACTGTTACAAGAATACAGATTTAGAAGGGACATCAGGAAGGAATTCTCCCCGCAGAGGGGGGCGCACTGGGACAGGTTCCCAGAGAAGCTGTGGATGCCCCATCCCTGGGAGTGTCCAAGGCCAGGCTGGATGAGGCTTGGAGCAACCTGGGCTATGGAAGGTGTCCCTGCCCGTGGCAGGGGGTGGGACTGGCAGGCTTTAAGGTCCCTTCCAACCCAAACCTTTCTGTGATCCATGTTGAGGGTTTCACTCATGTGGAAGAAAAGAGTAGCTTGGGGCCAGCAGAACTGAGCTGGGGGAGGGTTGCCCCCTTCACCCGCGGGGTATGGACCATCACTTCTCCCACCCTTTGCTTTGAAGAAAGTACAATTTGTTCTGCCCAGGAGGGGAGAGACAGACTGGGGAACTGTGGTAGAGGGTCAGAGCATGGTGAGGGCTTAAGACTACGTGGCTTTGAGAGCCACCTGGAAGAAGCTGTCCTTGCTGGATTTTGGCTGTTTCAGAGGATGACACCCATTTTCCCTCTGAAAGCAACCCAAAGCCCATTGTGGCGTTTAGGAATCAGACCCAAAACCACCCAAATTCTGGAGTCAGGACCTGGTGTCTGGACCATGCTTCCATCCACCTGACAACTCATCTCACACTGAGCCCTTTGGGTAACGAGTGGTTCCCAGTACAACATAAAATTCCGGAGCGCGCACCCTGCGTAACCCCATGGAGGTAACCCCCGAGTGCCTCCAGCTGCTCTCTGTGGGCGTCTCACATCCCGTGGGGAAGCACCTGCTCTTTCGGGAAGCCAGATGCCCGACGCAGCCTGCTAACCCTGCCGTTCTTCCCCAGCTCTTGGCAAAGGACTGGCCCTTCGGCGTGCAGGTGTGCAAGCTGGTCCCCTTCATCCAAAAAGCCTCAGTGGGCATCACGGTCCTCAGCCTTTGTGCTCTCAGCATCGACAGGTAAGAAAACGTGTGCGGCTGCGCTGCCCAGCCTGGCCCGTGTTTGACTAGAGCCCACCCACACTCACCCACGGAGCCCCCCTTCCTGATCTTTCCCATTCCACTGAAGGGGAAGGGCCAGGGGTGGGGGAGGAAGGAATAAGGGACAGGACTTTGGGGACGACTCTAACCTGCGCCTCCTCAGCCCCTTCCTGACGGTCGCTTTTCTCACCCCTGCTGCGTTCCCTTGCGTTGGGCAGGTACCGAGCAGTGGCATCCTGGAGTCGGATCCAGGGGATAGGGATCCCCATGTGGAAGGCAGTGGAGGTGATGCTGATCTGGGCAGTGGCCATTGTGCTCGCGGTCCCCGAAGCTATCGCCTTCGACATGGTGGAGCTCAGCTACTGGGAACGACACATGTGGGTGTGCATGCTCGCCTCCGAACAGAAATCCAGCTTCATGATGGTACGTACTCTGTCCCACCCCAGCTGCAGGGAGAGGGAGACAGGCAACCCGGGCACCCCCCCTCCTCCCTCAGAGGATTAGGTGCTTCTCTTGTAGCCAAGGGCGAACACAGGGAGAGCGATATCAAAGCACAGCAGTGACATGGGACACGCTTTGAATGAGGGGCCAGAAAACAGGCTTAAGCTGCGCCGTGCCTTCACCACCCACATCAGAAGGTCATGGCACAGCTTGGGAAGCTTCAGAACCTGCCTTGCTGGCCCAGCAGGCCAAGAAGCATCCCCACAAGCAGTCTGCACGCTGACCTTTATCACAGGGTCGGCTAAGGGTGAGCAAGGCAATGCAGATCCTTACAAAGCACCAGCGTTTACCCCACTGGAGCTGCCTAATAAGCTCTTGCCTCTGTTTCCTGCACAGGAGTGGTAGGTTGGACGGACCGACAGCCAGACCTAAACCAGCCTTCTTTAGCCTAAACTTTTGCAGCAGGCTCGGGGGAAGATAATCCCACGTGCATTTAGCACCGGAGCTGTTACACTTTCACGTCTCACAAGTGTCTGAGAGGCCAGCACCTCAGGGACCGGGTTGGTTCATGCTCCTCCCTCTCCCTGTTGCCCATTTTCCCATTGCTCTCTCTTTTTCCACGCAGTTCTACCGTGATGTGAAGGACTGGTGGCTGTTTGGCTTCTATTTCTGCCTCCCCTTGGTATGCACTGGCATCTTCTACACCCTCATGTCATGCGAGATGCTGAGCAAGAGAAATGGCATGCGGATTGCTCTGAACGACCACATGAAACGGGTAAGAAAACCGGGAAAGCAGAAAACTGGTATTCTGCAAACAGGAGGGAGCGCTGTCGAAGGGGAGAATGCGGACCTGGCCCCGTGAGGGACAGGCATGCGCTGAGTGCCACGGGGCCCAGCGGGTAGTGGCACACTGACACAGGTACATGGATTAGACCTGGGAGAGGAGCTTTCAGCTCCACAATTCCCAGTCTCAGGGACAACCAAACCCAACGGCAACGGACCAGCTCCATTTTCCATTTCTCATGGTCAGTTATGTCTGTGTCAGCCCAGGTCACACCAAACCGGACCAAATGCCCAAAGTGCCACATCACAGACAAGGCCTGCCGGGAAAAGAATAGTCCACTGTCCCCTCCCACGCTTTGCAGGATGATCCCTTGAGGCAGACCAGCTCCTTGTCACAATAACCCAGTGTGAAGGGCGGATGGATGTGGTCCCCGTGTCCCAGGGAGTATCACGCCAGCAGCGTCACCAGGAGCAATGGTGGGAAGGGGTGGGAAGGAGGCCGGTACCCCACCTCTTTCTGCAGCCTGGATCTCAGCGTCCTCGTGGGGCAGGAGTTGGGACCTGCAGGTTGTGCTCTGGGCTCAAAAGGGGTGCGCAGCCCCCACCACGTTACAGAAACTACTTGAAGGGCCCTTGCACAGCACGGGGAGACGGTGCTTTGCTCCACCCGCTCCCCAGCGCTCAGCCAGACCATCCCTTCCCCCTGCCCATCCCCTCTCCGCAGCGCCGGGAGGTGGCCAAGACGGTGTTCTGCCTCGTGGTGATCTTCGCTCTCTGCTGGCTGCCCCTCCACCTCAGCCGCATCCTCAAGAAGACCATCTACGACCAGACGGACCCCAACAGATGTGAACTGCTCAGGTAGGGGCATCGGCAGGAGGGCACCGTGCCGGGAGCCCCTGCGAGACTTTGGAGTGGCCTTCCCAACCCCTTGTTCCTCTAGCTCCCGTCCACGCGGCACTGCTCCCCTGCCCGGCCCAGAGGGAGGGTGTGGGGGCCGTAAGAAGAGAAGTTAGATTCTGAAGTGGCTCTAGAAAGCTAGGGGTGAGAGGTCCCCGGGGCAGAGAAGCAGCCCCCGCATCACACTCAGTAGCTTCCAACACATCCACCCTCTTCTCTCCCCTCCTGCCTCAGTTTCCTCCTGGTGATGGATTACTTCGGGATCAACATGGCCTCGCTCAATTCCTGCATCAACCCTGTGGCTCTCTACTTCGTCAGTCGGAAATTCAAGAACTGCTTCCAGGTAGGATCGATCCCTCCAGAGCTTTTGGCTACGGGGACGGTTCCCAGAGACTGGTCCCAGGGGCACAAGCTCCCACAGAGCAGGCGGGTGCACCCCCATTGCCGTGGATTTCTGCGCTTCCGAGGCGAGAGGGAAAGTGGAGCGTGGTTTGGCAAAGCCAACAAGCAGCGGCAGAGACGGGGCTGG